ACAACCCAGATGTTCACAGAAGAATTCTGATCTCCCTGTGAACTCGGCAAGTTCCTGTTTCCCAAGGTAATTTAAATGATACTGGCCTCTACCTTCCTGCATATGTTAAACTATGACCTCCTGTCCTATGTGTTACAACCACAGGGGTCCAAGGAGAAGCTCTACAGATCACCCCATTTTCCTTGGTACTTTTGAATACTTACCCAGCCATAGTTTAATTTTAAATCACTAACAGAAACCTGTTCAAAGTTTAAAAATTTGTCCAAAAAGATTAAACTGTATTAAACACTAAAAATAATCATTTTTCTCAACAGATTCTGCTTAGAAAATTAGGTTATGAAGTTACATTCTCCCGCTGCTTTTTGTTTTTAAAATGGTAAATTTAGGTTTGCCTCGACTTTTATAAACTAATGCCTCTTATATGCATTACTGTTGGTACAGATATTAGGCGAACACTGTGCTTTGCCTGCTAGTAGTTTAAATTAATTTCAGCTGCACTTTCAAGAGTATTCAGATTTTAACATGCATTTTCTAAGTAGTATTTTAGTTCACTCTTACTCAGTAACGTCAGTGTTGTTACATCTCTGAAACATTTTTGCAGTTTCTTTGTGATACCAGAACTATTTCATTTAAACATTTAATTTCCTGAGTGTTTTATGAAATTTTAAATCAGGGTCGAAGGAGATCGGCGGCAATAACGAAACCAAACGCTGTTTCTGCTAGAATTAAATGTGCTCGATTTATTTCCCCACAGATTACAGCAAAATAACATGCATCAAACACTGTTACTGCTAGAACAAATATGCTCGATTTATTCCCCACAGAATACAGTACAAAACACTCTATGACTAAACACGTGATGCTCGATTCATTCAAGTTATCAGCGCTTACCTCGTGAAAACGTGGCCGGAGAGCCTTCGACCTAGAGACAGAGCAGCATCAACGTAGCTGGGCATTCGAACGCGACCCACAGCAGACTCTGACTCAAAACGCGGGCTTTTTCGTATTTTCTCTTAAACAAAGGGATGCCTGCGTGCAAAGGGGGAATGGCCATTTCCATCCTTGCAGGCGAGCCATCCAATCAGAGGTAGCCGCTCTCTGACCATAAGCCAATCATGGGCTGAGAGCGTGAACCAGCAGACCAATCAGAGCCCAACCCAAGTCAACCAGAGCTAAGCACGCCCTGTTCACATGATCCGCATGAGCTTGCAGCATGATCAATTTGCACAATACCCTGAGCAGAATAAGTTTATATAAATGAATAATAGAATAATAAATGAATAATGATTATCAAAGAACATAAAACATAATAAAAAGATAATAAAAACATAAAAATACAAAATACCAGATCACTGAGATATTGTCACTTTATTTTCAATCAAAACTCTCAAAAAGAGCTGAGGATTTATTAGTTTTGATTACGTTTTGCAGCCAAGTATGGACATTTATTAGTTTTTTTGTTTTTAATTTTTCAGGATTGCATCGCAACACCTCGTGATGCGTTTCTGAGCCATGATCGCTGTGCCGATTACCTTTCCATTGGATCCAAGCACCTGGACCAGCTGACGGCGTCCATCAGTCCACGGTCTGCCGGATCATCACAACGTGGACTAACTTTTTTTTTTTTTACAGCACTTGGTTTAACTATGATCTTGAAACCGGAGTACCAGATATGCAAAAATCTACCTGCAGACTTTGTTGGCTACCCTGACACTGCAGTCATCCTAGACGGGGCTGAGCCGATCTTCCTCTCCTCCAGAGTGACGAGTTTTCATCACCAGTAAAGGCAAACAAGTCTGATGTCTGATTAGCTGCTAGGAAGTATATTATATATTCACTGTTAATTTTGCAATCCTGTTTGTACCTACAATAAAATTGAATTTCATTTGTAATACTCTACATTTCACAAACCTTTTTTTCCCCCCCATTTCTCAGTGTTTACGTTATATCAAGTATTTGCATATAGATCAGGAATTCAAGTGAGATATTAAAATGCAACACTTTTAGGTAATACCAGCAAAGAAATGTGAATATTAAGTAATATGTAGTTAGTTATATAATTTAATATACTGAATAAGGCTGGATGATATGACTTACAAGATTTTTTTTCATATCAGATTTGATTTTAATCGATTTATCCCATCCTCAATTTCTATAATAAAAATCACAGAAAATATTTTCAAAAATTTCCTTTATTTCAACCATCTGTTCTGTGAGTTGTATAAGGGAGCATTACGGTCAGGATACAAGAAATTTTTATTGCAAGAATGCAGTCATCGTTACGGCAGAATAAAGATGCAATTTTATAACAATGTCTTAAAATTACAAGAAGTCGTTTTATTGAGAAATAAAGATTCAGATTGATCTGACTAACCAGCTCAGTCCATGTGGTTCTGACATTTGTCAGTAATCAAGAGGATGTACATTTCCACCTCAACTGACCAGGTAAGCATTACGGTAAAAATACAAAAATAAAGCAAATACTGTATACAAAACAGAAAAAGAGGAACTGATAGAAATACTTTCTATATAAAGAAAAGCAAAAAAGTTAATAGCAGGAGAAAAGTTGATGGTAACATTAGCTCAGCCAATCTCTCCCTCCAGGAAGCCATAAAACAGAACTCCTGTCCAACTCCAACTATAATAAAGATAAAAAAAGAAAATGGAAAGTTAAAACAACAAATAATGCCAATTTAATAATTAAGATCTAATGCGTTCTGGAATATATTATTGACATTTTACAAATCAATTAGAAGGTTTCACAAATGTTTTATTTATTCTGCTGTTAGTACAGAATAATCTAGTTAGGTTTGAAATGTCTAGGTGTTGTAGTTTTTAAAGTACAA